TTTTTTTGCTCTATCTCAAAAAATTTTGATGAATATTTTTGTGAAAAGTCAAATTTCTCGAAAAAAATTTTTTTTCTCGCGTTTTTTTAACATAAAAAAATTTAAAGAATTATTGGATTATAAAGAGGAAGTCATAAACTAAATTCCAGTTCAAGGTTTGATTCGATACATCAAAAAGAACGCCAAGGGCAACTGTTTTTTCTTTTGTGTTTTTCAAATAAATATTAATTATTTGCATGGTCAATCAGATCAAGGAAGCGTAAGATGACAATTCATTTAAATTTATTTAAAATGGGAACGTATTCATGATGTAGGAATTTGGTATGTAAATTAAGGCTATTATTTTGTAACCTTGCGCTTCCTTGGTCTGATCAGACCAAGAAAGAGCAAGGTTACAATTTATTTAAATTTATTTAAAATGGGAACGTATGTATAATGTAGGAATTCGGTATCCTTTTATAAATTAGAATTATTTTGTAACCACCATTTCTGAAACCAGTCGTTTAGATACATGTTTTCCGAATTCCTACAGGTTAATCTACAATGGGTGCGTTCGGTTTGGACGCTCACGCGCTGTAAGCGCTCACGCTTATAAGCGCTGTTTTCAATCTTTCGATTTGGTATCTGAGCGCTTACACAATAGTAAAAAATGTCGTTCGTTTTGGCAATGTAAGCGATTATGAGCACGTCAAAATGGCAGACGATAGGTTATTGTGTGTTATATTTGCGCAAATAATAACATTATTAGAATTATTATTCGATGAGGAAGAATATTTAATTTTTAAAATAAACCTTTTTTTTAGAATAAAGCGAGCAACATTTAATTTTATTCTACAAATTTTAAAACCTAAATTACTAAGATCAAAATCAGGACGTAAAACAATATCACCTAAAAAACAATTATTTATCGCTATATGGAAAATGGCCACCCCAGATTCATATCGGTATGTTATTAATATTATTATTACACATTGTTGTTTCAATTTTTAAATCAAATAAAGGGAAGTAAGAGAGGCAATCAGAGCCACGCGCGGTAATTAATGCGCAATCAAAATAAGTCAATAATAAAATATATATATTAGTTAATACAAATTCGGACGTTTCGACACTTTTTTTGTGTCATCTTCAGCGACACTTAGTCGATCCGTAAGCGCTTACAACTCAGCGAACGACGTGAGTAACGCTCATAAGCGCTTACAGCGCGTGAGCGTTCAAACCGAACGCACCCATATATAGTATCAATGTTATAATCTAAATTACATGTTTTAGTACTGCTATCTATAGTATAAGTAAGAAGTACTTAGCTCTCATTTATACTTTGTTATATTAATTCGTTGGTTCTCTGCATTTGTCATAAAAAGAATATATAGAAAATAAAATCTATTGTTTTTCTATAAAATAAAAAATATGTATACTTTTAGAATAAAATAAAGAATGATACAGTATTATTTTAAAAATTTTAAAAATGTATTTTTCGATGAAAAAAATAATCAAACTTTTCAATTGTTTATAAAAATTAAATTTTGTTATTTCTTGTACACTCTTAAATTATTTTTATGTAACACATGCATGGAAAGTGGCCCATTACACACGCTACGCGTGCGTGATAGACCACTTTCCACGCACTTGCAACATAAAATAGGGTGTGCAAGCCGTGCGTAAAGATGAAAATTCCCGGGTGCGGTGACCGCACTAGCCTTAACACTTTTCAGGTCCATGTATTTCGTAAAAAGTGGCAGTCTGGTACATAATATAGATGTGGATCCACACAGAGGTAGTGTGCGCTCACTAACCGCATGTTCCAACATTTCTTCTTTTTCATGATTCCTTCATTTTATACGGAAACAATCAAATCTGCCTTGCTGATAAACAGTAAATGGTATAAAAATCGATAGAAATTTTTCAGATTAATAATTTGATTCAGTTCCAAGTTTCCGGTAATTTTCTTTATTCTCTGTGTGATCTTTTGTGCAACTTTATTGTTAGATCGCTATAACCTGTATCAAACAATGAAATAAAAAATTCATTAAATAAATTTAAAAAAACTTTTTGAAAAATTTTAGTCATTTAGAAGCGTAACTATATAAGTGTAGCGAAGGTAAGCAATTTAAATTTTGTATTTTTTTTTCTTTCGTGCTTGTGCACGCATGTATGCCGTATGTATGTTGTTCTACCACGTGGTGAAACACACTACCACGTGGTGGAACACACTACGTGTATCGGAAAATGAGATAAAAGGTACATTTTTTAAGTAAGATAAAAAATACATTTTGGAAAATCTTAAGCCCGTTCTACAAGAGCCGTAAGAATATGGGATAAGACGTAAGTAGTATATAAAAATTGACCGACTACAGTCGATTATTCTTGGATTGTAAAAATTTTATTAGTCAATAGCTTACTGCTTACAGTGCTTATGTTTTACATCCACTCTTATATACGGCTATTGTAGAATGGACCTTAGTTATTTAGAAATCAAGCGTACCTAATTGTGGCGAATGTGAGCAATCTAAATTTTGCAATTTTTTTGTTTTTTCCTTTGTTCTCGTACACGTGTACCACGCATGGTGGTAGAGGAACACAGCTCGTAATGTTTCAGACTTATAAAAAAATATTTTTCTATATTAAAAAAATGTAATTTTCTTTAGAATAATTAATTATTTAATATTTAATACTAATATACATGCAGACTATGTAATAATAATGTCAGTACTAGTCATGTAAATGGAAGCAGGATAAATTTAGATTATATAATCTAATTTAATTATATAATCTTACCGCTATAATTATAATAGCATAATATACAATGCATTTTAGCATATACTACAAAAGGAAGGATTATTATTATTCTCCATATTTTTTGTCTTTTTTCAGGGAGAAAATATGACATCCCATTATCAACCTTTATGTTGCGAGAGTTTTAGTCGATATCTTTATGTCAGTAGAGTATCCGTAGGAGAGGAGGGTAGTGTTGACTTCATCTATCAATTTACGAAGAAGAGATTTGTTCCCAAGAACTATCAGAATATTAGCATATATCACACTGCCCCTGACATAATTGGGCCACCCAAATTTCAAAACTATGGAGAACTATTTCATTTACCATTTCTTTATGAAAAAATGTTGGTATGTATATTTCCTGGTATTATACATTGTCCCGTAAAAGTAATCGCAATTCAAACTTACAAGAGTTTGTAGTATTTAACACTTTTTGAGTTTTTAATACAGGGATACTATGGAGAAGAAGATATTTCAATATTTCCATGGCAAAACAAAGAACCTAGAAATGAGGCTGATTCTATTCGGCTATGGGATAAGACAAACAAAAATAATTATATTTGTATGTAATATTTGAATTATGAGATATTGTTAAAGAAGATATGCTTTTGTTGAGAAGAAAGTATAATTATATATTTTCTATTATGAAGGTATCGAGTTTCATGAAGCTGTATATCCAATCAAAGTTTGTATTTACGAAATACATCATCCTGGAAGCGTAATTCAAACTTTGGCCCAAGATTCTAATAATAAGTGGTTTAAGTTGTGGGATAAATCATCTCATTTTGTACCGCCGACATCAAGATTATTTTCTCAACCGTTATCGCATCCGTGTAACTTTAAAACCAAAATGCTCAGACTAACATTTAAAAACAGTTCACGTTTCTCTTACACAAAGCTAGATGCTGTGATGCTCATCGGTACATCAGAATTGATCCTTTCTAGAAATCCTAACGAGAACTTAACTAATCTGTTAAAAAGAATTAACTGCATGTACTCTTTATGCCATGACAATGTCCATAATTTAACAGCAGATTTAAAAAGTGCACACTTGGATATAGTTCATCTGCAACAGAATTTTCCCGAATATTGTATTATTTGTAAAAGGTATTATTATCGTCGACGTTAGGTAATATTTAATTTTTTTTCTGTTAATAATGAAAATAAGTTTGTTTCCATAATATTTGCAGCGATATAAGAAGGGTTTCTTATAAGAGTAATTTGAAGCAAAAGGTATCTCAGGAAGTAATCCCTTGTTATGAGCAACCTTTTGGACGGAGATATTCGCGTCGTGTTTTATTAAAAAGTCATTCAAATTATGCAAAGCGTATGAAACTCTCTTCGGATGAATCTAAGGACCTATCACATTGCATTTTGTCTGAGCTTACTGTAAAGTATCCTAAGAAGTCTATTTTTTATAATAATATTTATTGGAATGTCATTTCTAGTATTAAAGTTTTATCTTTTATCTTTGCAGGATGAAATACTACTAATAATATTAAAATACTTGGATTTGAAAACGTTATGCTGCATGAGTAGAGTAAATTGGTGCTTCAATAATTTAACACGGGACCCTTTACTCTATACACGTTTGAACGTGCGACGTGTGACGGACAAATTTATTTATACGCGCAATGTATTTCGTTACTTTACAGCTAGATGTAAATATTTGCAACAATTAGATCTTACAGCAATCAACTTTGATGTTAATGATTTCGTAAACTTTTTTGATAATTGCGGCAGAAATTTAACGCACTTAAAATTAAGTCTCTGCGATGTCGATTTAAATTCTGCCCTACTTAAAACTTCAGAGATATGCAAAAATTTGAAAAGTATGTATATATGCATATAGTATATAAATTATCAAGATTATGGGTAAATTGCATATAACTAATACAAATTTTTCTTAGAATTGGATCTAAGTTATTGTCGACTCATAGAAGACAAAGAATTTTCGTACCTCGAGAATCTGGAAGGTTTGGAGTGTTTAAACCTTGTTCAAACATGTGTAAGAACTGAACGTCTTTGCAAAATACTGCAAAAAAACCAACGGATGCGTGAGTTATGTTGGAACTCAAGCCATATTATAAACATAGACGCAGTTTTAATAGAATTAGGAAATTTGTGTCGTGATTTAGAAGTAATATATTCATTGAACGCAGAGACTTTTACATTTCAGGGTATTTAATGCTCTCGCTAACTGTAAGAATTTACGAAAAGTGAACCTTATTTTTCCGTAAGTATTATGTGCGTTCTACATTTTTTTTTAAATACATATTATTGTATTCTTTATTGAAATTTGTTTGCTTCTGTTGCAAGCATCTTGAAAAAGTTACATGGATTTTCTCCTGTACTAATTATATAATTTTTGTTACAGAGGATATCTAGTTAATGAGAGTTTATTTAGATTACTTTCTTCTTATCAAAACTTGCAAGAAGTATATTTGTACCATTTGTACCATACTGTCCTCACTGATCACCAGTTGGAATTACTAGCGCAGTGCAAAAACTTGAAAAAGTTATATTTTTATTCTGTGAAATTTTATAAATCTGATAATTATTTCGTTATTTTCGAACAATGTCCTAAAATGCAAGAGTTTTATCTCATATACTATCATATAAGCGATCAATTAGTTAATCAATGGAAAGAGAGATATCCGCAAGTGTCCGTTTATACATACGACCAAAATAATTTTATAAATATTATTGGACAAATAATGAAAATATTTATTTAAAAACACAAAAAATAAATATAATGAAAAAGAAGAGAAATCAAAGTATTATTCCAAGTATATTTATTAGAGTAAGTAATATTTCGCAAGATATGTATTTTGTGCGTGAAATTAAATTTAAAAGAATATAAGTACAATATTTTATAAACTATCTCTCAAAATTGCTGTAGACTTAATACAGGGTGCATAATAAAACACTTAAAATGTATGAAATACAACGTCATAATAAAATGAGAAGATATAAAATACAATAAATAGCATAATAAACGGTGCAGAAATTGAAAAGGGTTTAGTTGCATCGACAATAAGCACCAAATTATATGAGAAACAACAATCGAAGATGGACATAATCTTCAGCAGCATCCTTCACTTAATTGTTGTAAAAATTTAGTATCATATTTTTTCGAAACTAAGCAACTCATCAAAGCTATTACATGATTACAAATATTTAAGGGTGACATCTCAAAGCATTACCAAAAACCTAAAAATTTCATAGATTGTTCTATTATTGCGTCTAAGTATCTGTGTAAAATTTCAGCACAATTCTTTTACTGGTTTAAAAGTTATTGTAATTAAGGATGTATTGGAGGTATTTCAAATATATTTAGAAAGTGCTGTAAAATTGTTTCTAAATTAAATTAAAAATACTCTGTAAAATTTTGAAGTTATTTAAGAGTTATTTAAGTTTAAAGTTGATAAAATTAACATTATCCCTTATAGAGAATCGACACTTTCCTGTAAATATAAATAAAATATAAATAAACCTTTAAGATATTTCTTAAACTTTTTTTATGTGTAAAACATACATCATTGATATTGTATTTTAAGTTTCAAAATTTTTTGCCACAAAAAATTTTTTTAATTGTTTAAACAATACTAATTATTTAAATAACAAAAAATTATACTCAAACTGTTAACGGTAATCTCTTCTAACATATAAAAAATTTTAAGTTGTTTGACATACATGCAAAGTCTTCTTTTATTGAAAGTTTAACTTTTAGCAAGGACTGTACGACACATACATCCTTAAAATAATGTCTGTAGAAACTGAAAGACCTCCTCGTTGCAAATAATCAAAATATTCATCATTATAATAGCATAACCCTTATTTTCACGAAAAATAGTTTTACATTGCTGACATTGTTGCTTTGAACCAATTTTATGTATAGCATGTGTAGCAACCAGTAAGTAATTAAGCACTGCATTATTTGTTTGTATGCTTAAATAATCTTCAATTACATGATTAAGCTCATTTTCAGTTTCACAATGTTCTGGAATTTTATCAAATTCAATATCTGAGTTAATTATATCTTTAGCTGCGTTTGGCATCCTTTACAAAAATATTTCACCGCTTTTACACCTCACATAGATCGTTTTTAGCCCGTTTTTAGCCCGTTTTATCATTTTTATGTCCGTTTCTTGCACTCTCAAGCACGCGCAGTCTACATGATGAGTGTACGCGAGTATGCAATCGTACACAATCCACTTTAACCACTCGTTTTTAAGCAAAAGGGCCCCTTTGCGCCTCAAAAACGGGTCATACTCATTGCCAAATGCACGTTTTTACTACTCAAACTGACCGTTCTCGCGGTCCAAAAACGGTGAAAAATTTTTATAAGGGATTGTAAATTGCTGGGATGCGAGCTATATAGCAGATGACGAGCGTGATCAGTGGTCACGTAACTTTTGAGTAAACTGAGCATGAAGGTAAATCTCGAACGATTCAGAGCTGTCATTGCAATAACTCGCACTTCAACCTCAACATAAAATTATGAATTTGCAAGAGTTTGCCCTTTTTATTGTATAATAAATGTTTATCATTAATTTTCAATATTTCGTAAAGATTGCTTTTTGGTAAAGATAAAAATCTAATCTTGAAAAATTAAAGAAAAATTATTTGGAAGTCACATTAAAAAAAATGCTAAGAATTAGCTCCAGGCTATAAGTGAATGCTTCACCGTGGTATTTTATAAATATAGCTAATTTATTATAGACAGATGTTTTGTAAAATTTTCAGATATTTTAAAATACTTTAAGATAGGGAAAAATTGCGTCAAACGTGACAGATTCACGTTTGCACTGAAAATGTACCGAAGAAATGTATGTATACGGAGGAGGGTTAAGCCGCTTACTTTCTACCGTCGCGATTGAAATGATTCGAGACGTAGTTCGAGCAAATTTTGCGTCAAGAGGCTAAACACTTGTTCGAGAACTTCTATAGTCCTTCGCTACATCAGTATCCGTTGCTATTAAAAAATCCATATAAGCTACAACATTCGGTAAATGTTTAGTATAACGCTCTTCTCTCCGATTTTCTTAAAACTTTGTAAAATTGTTTATTTTTGTGTGTAAAAAACATTCTGAGAAGGAAAATCGTCGCTTAGGTCTCGTTTTTTTTAAATTTAATTTCAAAATTTTGATGTCGGTAAGGTAGGAAAATGATAATTTACGTTTTTAAAGTACTGCGCAACTTCATTTGAAGGTCACGTGACAACTGTCTACTAATTAAATACAAAATATCTGCTTAAAACATGTGTGTGCCCTACTTTAACGAAAATCCGAGCAAAAATCATAACTTTTATAAAGCAGTGGATACACACGTGTGTGCCTTGTTTTAACGAAAATCACAACTTTTATAAAGCAAGGCCTACATACGTGTGTGTGTGTGTGTGTGTGTGTGTGTGTGTGTGTGTGTGTGTGCCCTGCTTTAACGAAAATCACAACTTCTATAAAGCAGGGCATACACACGTGTGTTTGTGCCCTGCTTTAACGAAAATCACAACTTCTATAAAGCAGGACATACACACGTGTGTGTGTGCCCTGCTTTAACGAAAATTACAACTTCTATAAAGCAGGGGATACACACGTGTGTTTGGCTCCCTGCTTTAACGAAAATTACAACTTCTATAAAGCAGGGCATACTCACGTGTGTTTGTGCCCTGCTTTAACGAAAATCACAACTTTTATAAACCAGGGCATACACACGTGTGTTTGTGCCCTGCTTTAACGAAAATCACAACTTCTATAAAGCAGGACATACACACGTGTGTGTGTGTGTGTGCCCTGCTTTAACAAAAATCACAACTTCTATAAAGCAGGGCATACACACGTGTGTGTGTGTGCAGTGCTTTAACGAAAATCACAATTTATTAATTTATCAATTTATCAATTTATCAATTTTGGCCACGTACAGTATTTCACAACCATAAAATTTTAACCTAAATGGCACCGTTAATGAGTATGCGGACAACTTAATTTGTGAATATAGTAACAAATAAAGTTGCGCAGTATTTAAAAAACGTAAATTATCATTTTCCTACCTTACCGACATCAAAACTTTGAAATTAAATTTAAAAAAAACGAGACTTGAGCGACGATTTTCCTTCTCAGAATGTTTTTTACACACAGAAATAAACAATTTTACAAAGTTGTAAGGAAATCGGAGGGGAGAGCGTTATACTAAACATTTACCCAACATTCTCGTCGTAATCAATCAAGCATGTCAAAATTTGAAAACGTGCGGGTATGTTTTCCAGATCGAACGGCATTTTTTAGTACTCGTATTCGTATTGATCCGACGCGAAGTATCGCCGCTTTACTTATAAACGGCCGGTTGCTCTTTCTCTTCGACTGTTTCCTCGTCCATCCAAACCGAAGCGTCAAATTTTTAGAGGCGGCAAATTTTAGAAAGAATTTTAGAAAGAACGATAGAGATAGAATAACCCTTGACTTTAAAAAATTTGACTCCATTTAATCCGGGAATTCAATCGCATTACAATTGGCTTCTTGACTTGAAATTTTTAATATATATTGCCAAACATTAATGTTGTATTTCGATTGCGTTTATGTATATATCGCAAGCACAGCAGAACGTAGTTTTTCTACCATAAAGAGGGTAAAACTATCTACGCTTAACTATACGACAAGAAAATAAATTCACTTTTTGTTCTTTACATTAAATCCGAAATTACCACGTGTTTGAATTACAATGACATTATTGATGAATTTTCTATATTAAAATGTAAAAAAAGAGCATTTTAACTTAATCTACTTATTACATTCTTCTATCTTTGTCTTCTTGTTGTGTTTTTGTTCTTTTTGTTTTTCAGCCGAAATAAATAAAGGATTTTTTAAAATAAGATCTCGAAAAAATTAATTTAAAAAATTCGGAATTTTGTAAAACTTTGATGGGCACTTGATAAAGAGGTAAGATTTGGAAATATGTAAATAATAATAATAACAATTTTAGCAATTTTTTTCGACAACAATATTTATTGTCCCGATCGATGCTCTCACCGACGACTTCATCGCGCGGACAAGAGCGAGGCGGACACTTGTGGAGTCTCACTCGCAGAAAGTGGCATGGTAAGTATTTTTAGAAACATATACATCCATCATCCAACTATACATCCTTCACCTCCACTCCATTCTCCTCTCTGTCATTATTATTTCAGATTAATTACACGAGCCCAAAATCTAATATAATATTGAATAAAAAACCATACGCTCAATAATAATAAAGTTAAAATATGAAGGTTACAATCTCCGAACAAAACAAAAATAGAAGTTGATAATATAAAACTTATTTGCCGAGAATTACGTTTTGATTTACTTATTGTTAGTCTTCATCAAACTGATAAAATTACATTACAAAAAATATAGAAAAATTAAGCAGAAATATAAAAATAGTCTCATAAATAAATAATTAAAATAATATGTCAGGAATAATATGTCAAACGCATGTCGAAACAGAAATAATGGCTGATGGTCAATTTTGAATACAGAAGTCAAACATTACTGCAGCGATCAAAAGTGTGGTAACAAAATAGAATTACAAATCAATCGATAAAAGGTATAACAATTTTCGCCGTTGATAAAGCGCGAAAATGGAGTTCCATAATTTAAATAAATCCAGTGTGATGTGTAAACCGACTTATTGATCAATATGATAAAAGGATCAATATGA